GATTCATAGTCATGTGAGTTTCTGATAGATACCCTCTATCTAATACATTTATGTAGTCTTGGTTGTGATTTTGTCTGATCCTTTTTCTTTTATTTTATTTTCTTCATTAGTGTATTCGTTCGTGGTTGAAGGAACAGAAAACGTGCCCAACGTGTCGTAAATATGCTTTACTCAAGGACGAGTTCCCATTCCTTAATTAAGAAACTTCTAACGCTAACCTAAATATTGTATACGTTTAGTTTTTTTGACTCCCTATAATTAATTGTGCTGAGTAGTTTAATGACTTATAATAGTGTAAGTCTACTGCTACTATTATTATGAATAAATAAAGAGAAAATTAATTTTAACAATAAGTTCTTTTTTGATCATTGTTTAGTAATGTATTCTCTGAAATTGATTCCTAAAAAAGAGAAAAAAATAAGATAGAGTGAGAGTAAAGATGATTTGCATACCCACTATTGAGTGATCACTTGATTCGGTTATTATTCCATTTTCAACTAGCATTGTCTCCTAATAAGAAACTCTGTCAGTTACCACTATACACTACTCTCTGTACCTCTCCAATTGTTACGTTAAACTTTGGTGTCTTGTCCCAGATCCATTGTACACTTTTAAATTCTTTTTCCAGTTCACTTATGCCTGGAAAGAGAGGCGAAGGAGATCCAGTGGGTGAGAATGGCTCTATATCAACCATCTGTGCATAAAATATAATAATAGTAACATTAATGATCAGTCCTTTACTTGGTGATGTCTTTTGTCTTTCAAGTCGTGCGACTCGTAAAATTGAGCAGCTATTGCTTTGCATATGTCATCGTATTGCATCTCGTTCTCTTTCAGTAAGGTTTTTATATTAAGAGTCTCTGATGGGATACTCTGTGTGGCAGTCGTTGATGCAAAACTAAACTAAAAAAAATTAAAAATTCCAAATTATGTTAATTCTCCCATCTCAGTACCATAGGGTTAGGTTGTAAAATGGTATCCAACATCACTTTATCAGTGTCAATCAGTAAAGTGAAGTGGTGATAGGTGTGATCTTTACCGACGCGTGCGGCACTGCCTGATACCTATTGAGTGTGGTTTAAGGCGACCTTTATCGGCTGACCTTTTTCCCTTTGCATAATATGTCGTTTCGCTGTCCGACGTACAGCCCCACCCCCCAATTATTGTTAACAGCATCAGCGACAAGTTGGAGGTTACGGTGTCTGTTGTAGTCCATTTTATGAGCAAAGAATGTGCAGTTGAGGTTACCCATATCCTGTATTAATGTACATATGTCATATGCAGGGTTTCCCACAGGATTTTGGTATAGTGCCCAGTACATTTTTAATTAGAAAAAAACATCATTTACTGTATAGTACAGCTAGGAGAGATTTTTCTATTTAAAAAATTTTTCTTAATACATATACGCGTATTTATGCTGTGTAGAAAGTTTTGAGTTGATTCCGATCAAGTTTGGATTTTTTACAAATTTTTGAAGTTGCTAAAAAATCAGGCTAAAGTCCCTGTACTCTAGTACATGGTCTTGGGCCAAATTTCGCCAAAATTGAAAAGTAGAGAATTCTTCATTTTTACAATTTTCCTGATGCATATACATGTACTTATATTGTGTAGAAAGTTTGAGCTGATTCTGATCAAAATTGAATTTTTTATTTATTTTTAAAGTTGCTCCAAAAGCCATGTGTTCAGACTAGCATAACCCTGGTCATGTCATGTGACTATCAGTCATGTGACACTTACATGATACACTGCTCCACCCCCTGACCTCCGCCTTGCCATTTTTGTACCCGTTGATCTCAATTTTTCAAAATCTGCCTCCATCCAAGGGTTCTGAAAATGTTTAAGATTCTAACAAATTAAGAACCCCCATTTTACCTGAAACCTTCCCACTACAACCTATACACAGAAAATGACATCGCCTGACATCAAAGGATAATTATGTAATTTTACAACTCACACTTGGCTCGTTTCTCCATAGCAACAGGACACGCCTACCAAGATAGGAGACGTTGTCAAGGAGCCATGTTTCAAGAGCAAGATTAGCATAAATGTTATTGGATAAAGACCTGTACACAATAACCTGTCACAGAATAAATAAAAATAATAATGACACAATCACATA